CAGACATGTTCCTGTATTGTTGTGAATCACAGTTTATGGCCAAACTGAAAAAAAGATCCGTCTAAATTTAATTTGATAGAAAAAAATAATAACACTTATCGTTACCCTGGTGATATTTTTGCTTTCAGTAATAAAGGATTCTCTAATTATAGTGCGGACATTTACCCAAGGGAACTGCTTTTAAATAAATCTAATAGGAATAACATTAATTGTCCTTTTTGAGATTTGAATATTTCAGTTTAACACGAGAAGCTCTATACTAAAAGTTCTGACCAGATGGACGATTTTTCGTTTCATATTTTTAATTGTCCTTGTATTGTACTATGATGTTCCTTTCGCGCCTTCCAAACTCGTTCGCTACATCCACGTCTGTAGTGACGTCTTATATTTCAATGAACGCAATCTTTGTATACTGCTAGTAACTGGCAATTTATAACTAAGCCACGGATTTCGTTACCAAAAATAACTTCACACCTTTGCTAAATTTTTTCATAGAAACAAAGATGTGATTTGGAAGTTCGACAGTAACTGTAGTCATTTTATTATCAACGTTATATCGCATCCTAATTTTTAACGGTGATATTGCTTATAGAGCCCATAAACTTAGTTTCAATCCTGATGAACTTATTGAGCATTTGAATAAACTTATTCTGAACTAGCTTTCAGTACTCTTAAGATCGGTACTTTGTGTATTTTGATTTTATATCCGTTGTTTTTGTTTTGCTTAATACCAATTTATTGAGGTTAACCATTTCAAACTGATATTACACCACTGCCACAGGTTATGGGAAGTTTGAGCACTCAGAAACCTGTTTAACCCCGCCACATCCTGTATGTGCCTGTCCTAAGTCATGAGCCTGTAGTTCAGTTGGTTTTCTCATTTGAATTGTTTCACATTATGTCATTGCGAGGACTTTTATAGTTGACTCTTCGGTATGGGTTTTGCTCATTGATGTCGGCCTTACGTTTACCTATAGTTGCTTACATCCACGTCATTTGGACTGTGGTGGATAGTTGTTTCATTGGCAATCTGACCACGTCTTATTATTTTTGTATCATTTTGAAAGGTTATTAATTTAACACTGTAGTTAGATCCTTGAGTATTGTCTTCATCGCTACTAACATTGATTTTGTTTTTAATAAATTAAAACATGATTGAATATGTATGACTACTCAGTTATGAACACTGTTGGTTTTACATCCTGTTTATGCTTAATTTTTGGCATTGCACAATGCCATGGTTTTCTCAGCTTATTTATGATATTTTTACACTTAATCCATTGGTTATGTTCTGTTTGATATTTAAGTCTGGAAAACATGGTTTATTTATTAGTTGGAATTGGTTTTGAACTATAGCTGTCAGTAGCAACGAGATCTCTTATATCGGTACCTTGTGTTTTTGTCTTTTTGTTAGGGTTTTTTATGTGCTTACTTCCAATCTAGTGAGTCAAGTCTAGTTCAATTGATTATTATAGTTTTGTTCTTTTGTTGTGCTGTAACACCACTGTGCCAGATTAGGGAAGGATTGAGTGCTGATAAGCATGGTTAACCCCGCCATATTTTGTATGTGACTTTCCCCAAGTCAGGAGCCTATAATTCAATGGTTGTATTTTGGTTGCTGTTTGCTTTATTTGTTTTTCGTTTTTTTTTTAACATAAATCAGGCCTTTGTTTTTCCTTTTGAATCGTCGTAAATAACACTACACACAGCAGAAATAGACGTTATTACGACTGCATTCCATAATCTAAATGAAAATTATCATTACGGGTTAAAAAATATTTCTTATGTCAGCTTTGTACTCAAGTTGGAGTTTCGAAAAATATCATTTTATATGTTACCATGATTTTTACTCTTTTTTTTTCTTCGTAACAAATCTTTAGTTTTATAATATAAGTGTTTTATCTCTTTTTTTTCCCCATTCCCCCCGCCACCAATGAAATTCAAGTGGTCGTCCCCTTAACTAGACATTCTTTTCAGTATGAATTCAAGTAATTTCCAGATCTAAATAAATTTATGTACACACAGACTCGTTTTATTTTTAGGTCTCCTTTCGAGATAAGAAGTAGCAACCATTGTATACATCTTTAGGCGACCTGATGATGCCAAAGAGATGCTGATTACTAAATCATATCTTACTATAATCAATAAAATTGAGAATGTTTATTTCAGCAGTAAGTAAAGCTCCGAGACCTCCACCGAGGCCAAGTGTATCTGATGCTGATGATGATCGTGAAGATTATGAAGTAGTTGGACAACCAATGAAACGTAAGTATCTGAAACACATTATTGCGTGCATTTATTATTGCGATTTTCAAAAAATGGACAAGAATGCGAGTTTAATTATTGCGATTTTAGAAAAATCTACATACAGATCTATTGGTTTTGTTATCAAAATGCGAGTTCTTGTTATTGCGATACTCACCGAGTCGCATTTTTCGCAATAATATAAACCTCGCAATAATTTCTGAATTTACAGTATACAAAGGTACAAGTATTGATTAATTTACAGTATACAAAGGTACAAGTATTGATTAATTTACAGTATACAAAGGTACAAGTATTGATTAATTTACAGTATACAAAGGTACAAGTATCGATGCTTGGCTGTTCTTCACTTTTTTCCAATTGCAAGATTCCATACACATACGCAATATTAGGCCGGGAACAATTATTATAAAAGTAGATCGATCGATATGAAAGGCTCAAAGTTTGACTTTCATAGAAAAAGAGGATAGTACATGCATACTTGGTGGGGATATATATGTTGCCTTACATCAGGTCATCTAGGGAGCTTTAAAGCGTTCCTATAAAGGGCTCTTTAACGTTCAGACAGCTTGGTCAATTATCACCCAATGAATATCACAAAACAAATACACAGAGCAAATTAAGCAATCGCAATTAAACCATTATATTTTAATACAATAACCTCTACAAAGAGCCATTGTAGACACGAAATGCATAATAATTATAATTATATAACACGTACTAGTAATACAGGTAAATACCAGATTACTTTGTTCTTTGATACTCTTCCTGCTTGAGGGTCAGAATTTGTCGACACCCACCAGCTGTCCACATTTTCAATTTAAATTACTGTACAAGTATAAAGAGGGTTCGGATGGGGTTTACAGAATAGAGAATAATGGCTTAAAATATAATGAATAGAGAAAAATGAGCAAAAAATATAAAGAATAGAGAATAATGGGGTGCAAAAGTATAATGAATAACAGTGGAAAATAAAAGAATAGGGTAAAGCAATACTGAATATAGAAATAGACGATGTGAAGAATAAAGAAATATTTAATTTCATTAAGGGAGCTACCATTTGATTTTTAGGGGGGGGGGGGGGGGGGGGGGGCTAGGATGAAAAATTTTGTCCTGCCTATTTATTTTTTCCTCTATTCGGTCCTGCCTTTTTATTTTTCACTCTATTCGGTCCTGCCTTTTTTTTATAGTTTATCCGGACTTTTTTTTTACATAAATTGTCATCCTGCCTTTTTTTTTTGCAAATAATCTCATCCTGCCTTTTTTTTACTCAAAACTCCTGTCCCGCCTATTTTTCAAATTTCATCCTAGCCCCCCCCCCCCCCCCCCATAAAAATCAAATGGTAGCTCCCTAACATTTTTAAAGTAGAACAATCATTAAAAGAATACAGAAATTAAAAATCCCCGTCAAGTCCCTCATAAAAGACATTCGCTCATACTATTTATTCGTTTTTAATTTTTGATATCATTTTTAAATGAGCTGCACTATCTTACAAGTTTTATTGTCGTTTATTCCGATTATATTGTCACCCTTCCTTAGTTGTCATTTTCCGGTACACTCTGGCCAAACAAATGTAAATAAAAAATTTAAACAGTTACAGGAAGGAACTTTACAACTACCTATTATATCTATTGGCTTAAACTTTTAGTGAGAATCTGCGCGATTTCCTAGATAAGATTATTACTGACAAACTAAACATAAAGATTTTAGCTCCTTCAAAGCACGCGCTCGTCTATTCAAACATGTTTGAAATTGTACTGTGATGCATGATAAAATGTACGGTGGCAAACTAAATGCATATTCAGGACTTAAACATGTCAGTGTGATATGAATATGAATCCTTATTTGTACTAGAGTAAGACCGACACGTGAGCCGAATTTTTAACACTATTTTACAATGTAACAGTCCGTACATTGATCGTTAGTTGGTATACAGAAAATGTGTTTTGGAATTTTTCAAAATATTTGAGATATCATTTTTATTTCAGCACCAGTTGTTGCTCCACGAAACACCAAACAGCATGAAATTCATCAGAACCAATCAAAACAAGACCACAAAACACCAGGAGGTAAGTACGTAAATAAGGGGTTCAACCAAGCAGTGAGATGTATCATAGTTTTGTGAAAAGAAAAATATATTAATAATGACCGTATAGTTTTATTTCATTATGCTGCAATAAGTGTACTAGCAAGGTAAACAAAAAAGTGTAAGTTTTTTTTTTTCTTTTTACAAAACTGAAAAGAATCAAATATCATACCATGTGTTAAACTCTTGTATAATAAGGATAATGATAATATGCAGATACAATTCATTCACATGGTACATGGCCACAATGTAATCACTTTGCACTTATCCATACTATTTATCCTGTCTTTTGCATTAAGCTAAATTATTTTTTTCCATCACAAACTTAATTAAGTGCTTCATATTATTAACAAAGTGCTTTAACTTTATGCATGTTTGAATCGGTTTATTTTTACCACACTTGAATATCTTAGGAAATGCTCATTGAAATAGAAAAGTGGTTTACATATATATTTAATACCAAAGGATGTTTACACAGTTGTTCAAAAGACAGTTCCTTCCTGTGTATAACGCAATACATTAGTTAGCTCACCTGGTCCAAAGGCCTATTATCTTGACAATTATTGTAGATAAAGAGAAACTGGTCATGGTAAAAATGATTAACAGGACAAGATCTACAAAAATTCAACATAGCAAACATCGTCAGTCGATTCCTTGTATAAGTTCTTTTTCATGAGTAACGACTTTTATCCATTTTTGTGTTTTTTGGCAAAAACTATTATTGATAGAGAAAAGTGCAAAAATTATCAGTAGGACAACATCTAATGTCAAAATGACCGATATAGTCAGTCATTTCCCTTGAATGGCGGTTTTTACCAATATTTTTGTTATTTTTTTATGTGGAAACTAAAATAGGTAGAAACTGTAAATAACAAAGATGATCAGCAGGACAAGATCTACTGCCAGAAACCATCGGAAAATTCGTATGGTACTGTATCATTTTATGCCAATATACCAAGTAAGCGATACATGCTCCTCGGAGCCTCTAGTTTCAAGAGCTTGCAACTAATGTGGTTTTGGGAATCTTAATCTAGATAAATCAATTTGCTTTCTTGATCAACAAAAGATATATAGAAAAGGTAAACAAGCTTTTGGGTTGTTTTTTTGGGGGGGATGGGGCATTGGATTAGAGTTCAAAGTCATTGTTATATAAAGATTCACTTTGTTAATATATTTTTATTTGCGAATGATTATCTAGTTTTGACCATCCAGTTGCATACCCATTCCCATGAAATCAAGGCATTAACATCAATCTACCTCACTATTGAACCTTCCTGATGCTTTTACATTCTTAGAAAAATGTCAAGCAGTTGTTTTCACTCTACGAGCTAATATTATGTTTTGGGGTCTTAACTATATGATTTGTACCGCGTCTTGGTCCAGACAGAAAACATTAAAAAAATTAATTTTTTTTAAAAAGATCATGTGTACATATGTATAAATATGTTTTCATTTATGTCTTGTTATTTCATAACATACTTTCTCATTTGTTTCACAGCATTTCACAAACGACCACTTTGTGAAAGTGGTTAAAAAAGATATTTATCTATATTTCTTTAGATTAAATTCAAGTACTTAAATCCCTTTGACTTGTTTTATTTAGGAAATATCCATGCTATGCAGAAAGACAAACAGACGCATAACGAAGAAGAAGTGGACGGACCTCTATTAATTTATGAAGTCCCAGGTTAGCATAATTTTTTTCTGAAAATAAAACAAATGAATGATGACATGTAGACTCTCAGAATACCCCGTTGCGTTTTTTACCATTAAAACAAGGCACCAATCATCAATGCTATTACCTTTAATGTTTAAATTTACCCTGGATATTTTAACACACAAAATAGCACATAAACCATGCAACGCTTATTCATATATGCAACATTTATATGTGTTATATAGCTTTTTAAAAAGACTGGAATTATAGTTTGAAATTAGTTGCTTTTGCCAAATGAATGGTACTGATACGCTGCAATGAAGAGCTACGATAAAACATTACTGAAAACTAAACACAAAAAAAACATTTGAGCAGGATTATAAGTTTATGAGAGGTAAAAACCATATTTACAACGTAAATGTAATACAAGGTAATTAAAAGGAAAAAATGGCCTAGGAAACATTGATACCTCACGCTTCTCCAAAGAAAGGGAAACTACTCTTTTTCGAGTCAATTTAGTATGCATAAAATAACTTATTTAAAGGAGTTAATCTAACTAGGGCCTCCTCTCTTGTAAACTTGAGAACCTTGTGGTCATAGGAGGTGGAGGGGAGTAAGATACCGAAATTTTAAATACACCAACAAACAAATACTTTTTACAAACTTTAATCAATTAAAATGCCTGATCGTGAACTTCAAATACCAAATTTTGGATCAAAATCTACACAGTGAAAAAAGAAAAACACCGTTTTCTAAAACTACCCCGTAGAATATTAGTGTTGAACCCCAACCAAGAATAAAAACTCACATACAATAGAGACTTAGAAACCAAATACCATTCTGAGTTTGCAAGCATAAAATTTGTAAATGTTGACCGGTACTTCTTGGGCTTATTGTCCTCTATGATTATGACCGATCAGATCGATCTCGGAACTAAATAGAACCTTTCTAATTCCGAGAAAAAGAGTTAAGTATACGCCATTGAGACAGAAACTCAACGATCAAAATAACAAACGACAACTAAAAATCAACATACGGTCTTCATCAATAGACATCTTTATAAGTATAACATTTTTCAAGGTCTAAATCGCCCGAGTCTAATAAAAGTATTGAACAAATTACTTAGAGTCCATTTACGATTTGTCATCGATTTTAAAATCATGAATGGCAAAACATGAGATAAAATTAATAGCACTGACGGGTTCTAGACCTTTTGGTATGTCAACCCCTCTCCTTTTTTTATTGTCATATTTTATCACTTTGCTTTGGAACAAAACCAAGTTATTTCATCGAGATCGTATAAAAAAGAAGTTAAAAGATCTGAGTCATAGAAACTAACTTTGAAAACAGTAGTTTGCTGGTTTGAATTATTTCTTATTTTGTCATGCCGGTTACTTTATTGCATAGGTTTTGCTTATTGTTGATGGCCGTACGGTGACATGGCAAAATAAATTGGCCATTTACAATTATACATGTAGAGCTGTTTGACAAACAATAAGTACTGACTATTTTGATAGCAAGTTTAACAGTAGGACATACTGGGTAATCAAAAGAAACAAAATAGATTACAACTTACATAATGCTATTTTTCAGATGATTCTTCTGGTGAATATATTGCTTTACCACAACAAAAACATAAAATCTCTGTACCAAAGGTAAATTATATATTAGATTGTGATAAAATGAAATGAGCGCTATACCTAACGACACCCCTACACACCCATCAATGCCAATACAGTCTTCTATGATTGGTAAGAAACTAGGACAGTTTTGGAGATAGATTTAGCAAGAACTTTCTTATAATCTACCATCAGCACCAAGTTCCCTAGTAGACAAAACATTAAGACATTAAAGACAACTACTCCTAACTTTGGAAAGGCACGCGCATGTGGTGAGGTTAAACTATTTAAACCCCTCCCCTTTTAATGTTGATGAGTCGAATGAAATATGAACAAAACAGAAAATACATTAAAAAGCAGTTCTGAAAAAGCACATAACTTTGTGATACATTATCAAAGAATCCTATCAGGCTCCAAGTTCTTCGTTTATCTTTTTATCTAATACATAGACATACCGGACATAATGATAAAATCTACTCTTTATAGAACTTTAAAAAAATCAGTAGTAACAAAACTAGAAATAGAAACCGTACAGAAGTATTGGTATTGATTAAGTTCATTTAAAAATGATCATTTAGGAGCTGCATATTATTAATGAAATAAAAGTATTTTTATGAAACCAAGGAAAAAGAAATTTGATTGATGTCAAGGAACAGTAAATATGCAATGTCACATAAGATTATAGAAAGATCGAAAACAAAAATTTCTTTCGACTTTGAATTACATAAATTTGATTAGATAATATGTTTGTTCAAATAAATGTACAGTTGTATAGAAAACATATAAAATCAATGAAAAATGTCCTCAAAAACCAGTCCATATATTTAACTTAAAATCGATATTTTGTTGCTAGCTTATGATTATGTAAAACAGTCATAAGGTCACCATGTATTGTTTTTGGCGTTTTAATCATTCAAGTGGGGTTTTTGGTGTAAAAAATACACCGAAACATAGAAATTAGCACTACTACATTCAGCGCTGGTAAACCGTAAGAAGTTAATTCTCGAGGTTTTCTACCATGAAAAACTGTTGAACAAAATACATTGGTACATAAAAAAACGTTGTAACCCTATATAAAATAAGGAGATGTTGTATGCTTACCAATGAGACAACAATGACCATTTTATATCCAATGAAACGTTATTTCTTTCTGGCAACAAAAAAATGTATCAGTTTTAAAGAAAAGTCTATTAGATTGATTATTGAGAAATGAGTTTAAAGAACGTTTTCGCCAATTTTACATACATTCTATTACAATATGCATCAATTTAAAAAAGATCTATTCAAAGATATTTTAAGCAAAAAAGGGATAAATGCATTAATTTGTTTTGATTTCACAATTTAACATGCAAACTTTGTATGAACAATCTTGTTAAATCAGTGATATTACTCATTTATTGTAATTTAAACCTATAAGTAAATGGTAAGGGCAGAAGTTTATATGAAGACTGATTTATCCTTGAAGTCATAACGTTCGTTTAGGAGATGGAGAGGGAGATAAATACCAGTCATTGAAATTACCTGAGGTTTTTTTTCCTACTAAAGTAGCATGGTTCATTGTGAAAAGATACAAAAATAATCATTTTAAACTAAGTTTACATAAATTCTTATTTTGGTTGGCTATTAATTCGTGAGTCTTGTATGCTTATGGCCATCAGTAACTTAGCAGTAGATGTTGTATTGTGATGATCAGTAATTTTTGCGCTTGTAGTTAGGGACTACTTTTGTTTTCTAAACGTTAAAGTTTAAAGGGACAACGAGTCAAGAAAAAAAAATCATCAGGATGTATTTAAGAAGTCCTTTTTCATACCTAACCAATGAACTGTGTTTGTTATAAAAATATAATTCAGGAAGTCTTTTTCACTGATAAGTGAATTACATTATATATCTTTATGACACATCATGTCCTATGATCGGTCACAACATTTAATCCCTTCATATTCTTCATTCGTTGTTTTGAGGTCTTCTCGGGGTTTCTTTTTAGTGTAAAAATCTGTGGTTTTTTTTTCGAGTAAGAAAGAGTAAGATGACAACTACATTGGGGGTGTTAAATCATAAGCAAATAAAAAGAACAGACCAAGGACAGCATGGCCAAACTAAAAACTAAAGAAAAAATCTACTAAACACAGAAAACTAAACTGTTGCAGTTCTAGTGCCTATATATTACCAAAGACATTCTTCATATTCCTTATCAGAAATAAAGGTCGTATCCAATATGTCTTCCAACCATCCATTGAAGTTGGGAGACATTCTTTTGTTTCGCCTTTCGTGTTTCCGTGTGTTAGTAAAATAGTTTGTCGATTCAAAATGTTCTACAGATTACACAGAAATTGAAGGAAACTTACTGACACAGTTACTTTAATTTGTGTAATTTGTAGTTGTACTCATATTTCATATTTTCACCAAATTGATTGGGGGTTCCAAACTAGAACATCCCCTTTGTATTTTTTTAAAGCAAACCAGCGACATTTCTATTTTCGGTAAGTTTTTCAACAGTTTGTTAGAAGAATTTTTGTTAAAATAAATTTACATTTGTACAGAAAGCACACAAAATCAATGAAAAATGTCCTCAAAAACCATAGATTTTTCTTAAAATCGATATTTTGTTGCTAAATAATTCTAGCTTGTGATTATGTAAAACAATCATAAGGTCACCGTGTTTTGTTTTTGGCTCTTTTATCATTCAAAGTGGGTCTCTGGATGTAAAAATACACCGAAACATTTCTAGCAATTAGCGCCACAACTTTCAGCGCTGGTAATTCCGGCATTAGAAATTAAAAAAAAAAAACGTAACAGAATAATGAATAGTTAAAAAAAAACCGTCGGTAACCCTGTGAATATTTTATATCAATGAAAGGTGTTTTTATTATAGCAACACTTAATTAATCAGTTAAAAAAAAATACATTACTTATATTTTTGATTATATATCATTGCAATTTTATAAAGTTTCATACACTTATGGGTTGAAAAAGCACTAGACAAAATTAGCATAGTTTAGATCTTTCATCCCCTGTGATCTTATGAAACTGAAACCAAAATCTTGTAAATTTTTTTTTTTGATGAGAAAATGACAAAACATTTCCTTTCTATTTATATTGTATTTATCGATTTGAATATTTTAAACTGTTAATGTTGTAACGAAATTCTGTATCATTGAAATAGTAAATTTTCCGTAAAAACGGGGCTGACATCGCATAACATGGACATTGCCTTTTCTACACATGTATCTGAAACACCTATTACACAACAGTGTTAAGATTATTGTTTTGAACAGTCATAGATTACACCAATAGTAAAGTTAGCCATCATATTTTATATGATATAAAAATGATTGGTGCTCTTATAGCAACCAAAAGGAATATACTATATTTTAGTGTACGAAATAAACAAACGAAGCCAAACAAAAAATGAAGTAGATAAATGGTTTTTATACGACCGCAAAAAAATTTTGAGGTCGTATATTGGTATGACGTTGGCGTCGTCGTCGTCGTCGTCGTCGTCGTCGTCGTCGTCGTCGTCGTCGTCGTCCGGCGTCGTCGTCCGAATACACAATGGTTTTCGCACTCTAACTTTAGTTTAAGTGAATGGATCTCTATGAAATTTTACCATAAGGTTCAATACCACAATAGGAAGGTGGGGATTGATTTTGGGGGTTATGGTACCAACAGTTAAGGAATTAGGGGCCAAAAAGGGGCCGAAAATAAGCATTTTTGTAACTTCCAGACATAACTTGTGTGTTAGCATATGGATCTCTTTGACATTGTACCACAAGATTCCATATCACAAAGGGTCAATGCTGGGATTGATTTTGGGGTTAATTGCCTCAAAATTTTAGGAATAAGGGGCCAAAAGGGGGCAAAAAACAAGCATTTTTCTAGTTTCATGACAATAACTTGTGTGTAAGTGTATGGATCTTTCTGAAGTTTTACTACAAGGTTCCATTTCACAAAGGGAAAGCTGGAATTGAGTGTTGTGGTAATTGCCCAAAATGTTTAGTAATAAGGGGCCTAAAAAGGGGTTTAAAATAAGCATTTTTTAGTTTCTAGACAATAACTTGTGTTCAAGTGTATGGATCTCTCTAAAATTGTATTACAAGGCACCATACCACAAAGGCAAGGCTGTTATTGAGCTTGGTTTGGGGGGAAAGGGGGGTGGGGGTGATGAATCATAAGGGGGGCGGGGGTCAAAAAAGGGGTAATTTTTTTTTTTCCTTTTTTTTTGTTTAAAATTTACATTTTAAGTTAGTTATTTTTTATCACGAAGAGAAAGTAGGAATTGAGTTTTGGGGTTAATTGCTCAAACATTTATGAATAAGGGGCCAAATATTGGTCAAAAATAAGGATTTTTTTAGTTTGCAACAAAAACTTGTGTTCAAGTGTATGGATCTCTGTGAAATTGTATTGCAATGTACCATACCACAAATTGAAGGTTGTGATTGAGGTGGGGGATGATGAATCAAAAGGGGGTTGAAAAAATGTGTGGGAGGTAGGATTTTTTTTTTTCCTTTTTTTTTCTTTAAAATTTTCCATTTAAAGATGGTTGTTTCAGATTTATATATGAAAGAAAATAATAATGATACGGTTATATATCATGAGGAATTGAAATTTAAAATTATTTATATTGGAAATTTAAGTTACATTGGAAAGTAATAATTGGCTTTGGGGGGGGGGGGGGGTGGTTATGGCTCTAATGTTTAAGGAAAAAGGGGAAAAAAGGTTAAAAAACAAGGGTTTCCATTTTAATAGACAAATAATTGAGTAAAGAACATTATTTAAAAGCAGTGTAAGGTTGGTAATTCAAACTCATTTAAATATCTCATCTACACTGCTTTTAAATTATGTAAATTGGAAATTTGCCAATAACTTTATTGTTAATAAATGCATTGGAAATTTGCCAACAATTTTAGTGTAATAAACTTCATTGGAAATTTGCCAATATAAAATTTTGCTGATGAAGGTTTTTTGTTTACCTTTAGCCTTGACTATGAAGTCATTTTCTATTTTTATAGCCTTATGATGTAGTTGAATTATTTAATACTTTTATGATGTGTTTAAATGGGGTTTTATCATGTTTATGGTTGCAAATTTATTGTTTTAGTATAATAAACTCCATTTAAAATTTGCCAATAAAAAAAATTTTTGTTTATTTTTAGCTATGATTATGATGTCATTTTCTATTTTACTTTTATGGTTGCAAAGAAATTTTTATTTTTAGATATTACTGTTAAATGATGCTGATTAAGGTTTTTGCTATGTTTAGCCATGACTATGATGTCATTTTCTATTTTAATATCTGTTATGATGTATTTAAATGGGCTTTTATGGTTACAAAGGAATTTTATTTTTAGATATTACTATAAAATGTTGCTGATGCTGATTAAGGATTTTGTTTATTTTTAGCCATGACTATGATGTCATTTTCTATTTTAATACCTTTATGATGTAATTTCCATTTTTAGATATTACTGTTAAATGATGCTGATTAAGGGTTTTTTGCTATGTTTAGCCATGACTATGATGTCATTTTCTATTTTAATATCTGTTATGATGTATTTAAATGGGCTTTTATGGTTACAAAGGAATTTTATTTTTAGATATTACTTTACATGTTGCTGATTAAGGATTTTTGTTTATTTTTAGCCATGACTATGATGTCACTTTCTATTTTAATACCTTTATGATGTATTTAAATGGGCTCCCATGTATTTAGATTTTTGATTATTTATACATGTTACCAAATTGGTCCACATTGAACAAAAACGGTCCAAATTTCAACTTTATTACATTACACCAAACATTGAATTCTACATATTCTTTGATATATTGAAATTAACAAACAATTTAGTTTATGGATATTCCACCATAATAGGTAAATTAAATTTTTTCCAGTTCTTACACCACATTCATCCTGTGTCAGAAACCTATGCTGTGTCAAATATTTAATGACAATCCAAAGTCATAGCTGTATCAAGCTTGAATTTTGTGTCCATACTTGCCCCAACTGTTCAGGGTTCGACCTCTGCGGTCGTATCAAGCTGCGCCCCAGCGAAGCATTTTATTCCTTATCAGAACAAAATTGGGAATCTAGTAGTTTTTTTCGAATATATTACAATACTCACCTTCACTTAAAGTCACAAATGAAGTGTTTAATACATGTCATACTTTTCTTGATGTTAACTCCACAAAAGGACATACATAAGCTAACTTAATTTCCTATATTTGAGTAGAAAAACCTATTACAATCTTCATGCCTTCAAATGTACTATTTAAAGGGAGACTATTAACACAAGTTATACAAACAAACTACATGCAATACGGTTATTTTACGAACAAAAATGTTAAAAAGAAAGAAATTACAAAAATAGTTTTTGTGGTTAGGATGACGTCTTATTGACGTGTTCAACACACGGGATATATCCATGGTATTATCTATCAATGGTCTTTAAGACACTCTCGCGATGGTCGTTTAAATCATAAGAACATTCAATATACTGGTAAATTCATTTTAAAACTGAAATTAAGAGAGGAAAAGTATGAAGTAGGTGCATTTTCGACAATCATTCCGTCTCAATGTATGCATGAATATCTATAAAAATGTCCTTTATAATCGCGCTTCCGCGGGTTACTTCCTAGTCACATTATAAAGCAAACAATACATGTTGTACTTATTATTTCAGAGATACGGATATATTTAAATACTGGATATTTTTTTCAAATTGCACACAAATCTTTTGTAAAAATGTGTATCTTTATGAAAAAAATAATATTCATTTATATGAATACATGGTTATCAGTGTATATTACTAAAACTAGTATTTTCTAATATTTGAAATATTTGAGCTTTTAGTTCACTCTGTTGAATCACACTAGGTTTACCTGTTATGTTTACTTTGAAAACCAAGTTTTATAACAATTGTATTTCTAAAAATACAAAAATTCAAGAACTATTAACCTACAAGTCTTGCAAATTTGTCGATATTAGAGGGATAGAACATAGTTTTCTGGTAGTATTTGTAACGCTAGTGTAAAAGCCAGTATAAACAATTAAATAACTGGAAAATGCAGTATTGATGTCTGAAATTATGTTCAAAATTATTCCGGGGGGGGGGGGGAGACCATTTTCTACACAATATCCTTAAAACTCTGAGACTCAAGGCAGTGAAAGTATTTATTTTTATCAATTTTTTTTTTGTTTTTTCTACAGTAAAGTCTTTCAGGAATTACTTTACTTCTATTTCAGCCATTTTATAAGAGATTAATGCGTGTTCAGTCTGAGCTTAAAGCGAGATTATTACCAAAGAGTCATCATTCAGCAAAACTGCCACCGATCTTGCCATCTATAGCGGTTACACAACCTCTTCCATCGCCAACTTACGACAAAAAACACGAAGAGACGCCTTTTCCCTCACAATCGTCTCCGAGAAGTAAGGCAAGACATAAGCCACACCAGTCTCCAACAACACAAGTACATCAAGAAAAGCCGAGCCCGTTACGTGTGAAACCCGTAGATACCATCAATAAACCACCTAGACCAAAACCTATAGGAAAGAAAGTTGTACCAGTTCCATCAAACAAAGATTCACACGCTAAACCGGCTACCATAATCAAAGATTCAAACTCCCAACTAGATGACGAAAGTGATGAAGACCTACAAGACTATGATTATCCAGACATTTCTAAAATGCTTCCTATACCACCACCCCAACAGTCACAAATCCGACCGGTAGTCAGAGTTCAACCAAGTACACGTATTACTACTTCTGTGACGACGTCTTCAGAGCGCATGTCACAAATGTCCGTACAAGACGTGGTGCGGTGTTTGCATCAATGTGCTTTACCTAAACTTGCCAATTTATGCGATGAAAATGCTATTGATGGAAAATTTTTATCAGATCTAAAAGACGATGAACTGCGTGATAAACCATTTTCATTGAACAATATAGAGGTTGCAAAGCTGAAAAAGATGAGAGAAGGATGGCGGCCAAAAATAGATTGAGTCGTTTTACAATTTTCAGCTAACTAGTATTACAGACTTCAATTTTTTGCAATATTATTTTAAGTTTAATTATTTTTACATCCTATTATTTGATTTATACGATATTGTAAAAAGCATTTTGCATTGCAATTTTGAGACATTTATCAGTATTTATTCGAACATCATTTATTTTTGTTTTGGTAGGATTTAGTACCTTTTGATCGTAACCGTAAAATGAATACTTATATCCTGTTTATTTCCCCCACAGATTTATAATAGATCAGCAAAAAACCCAAGAAATATGAAGAAAATTCTTTTATCTTATAGTTTTAGTTAACGATATACCGTATAAGGCATAAATATGCATTAGTTTCTTCTTGTTAGTGTCCTGTTTATTCATGATTGCACAAGCCCGAAGAGGAGCAAAATCGTAAATGTTTTATAACAAGTGAAGTACCAGTAGCACTGTTACATTGAAAACCAAAAGGTCGAAAGAACAACAAATGACAGAGACAAAAGGAAACGAAATGAAGACAAATTAAAAATTATACTAAAATGATATCCATTTATCAACATCTGCAAAAAGTGATAACTAAAACGTCAAATAAATATTTGGGAATGAAATGTGCTTCGGAATGGTAGGTATTTCCAGCGCTATATAATTCGTATAGCTCCGTATTCAAAATCGTGTCCCCGAAAATCATTGTCAAAATAATCCTTAGTAATCATCAGGGAAACTCCAATTCTGTTATTGCCCCTCGTGAAATTGACTTATTCAGTGACAAAAATCCTATCTAGTATATACATGTATATTCATTATTTTAATTTTTTTTAACAAAAAATGAAATGATTTATTTTTTGTGATTGTTTCTCCATTTTCAAAATAAAATCCCACTAATTGAAATTCAGATCGTGAGCGAAGTTGGGACACAAAATCTGTATTTCAACCATGATTTACAAATCACCTCCATAAGAAAATTTTTGAAACAATACAGTTTGTGTATTTTTTTGTTTGTTTTTGTTTATTGCTTACATGACATAATTAATGCATTTGGAAAACAAAATATTGTATTATAGAAAAACAACCAAGCCACATTATAATACACACAGGAAAAATAAGAATATATATATAACGTACGTATACGTTAGGGAAAGAAAGTTATCTCTTTTTCTACAGAAAATCGGGTAATACTGTCGTGAAGTAAACTTCTTATGTACACATAATGTATATACATAATATACGTCAAATAACAACACTTTTCAAATCAGATATTTTTCATAGGCAGTTAACATGATTTTTTGTTCACACTTTTATTAAACATAGCTCTTTTAAAAATGTTTGTAGGCCAGTTTTAGCGGGCAAAATCAGGAAGGGTCAGTTTCAATTATTACCTTACATTTTGTATTTGTCAATTTAGTCATGGAGACTTTAAACCACCTTGTAGTTCTTTTCTGTCAATTGTCCAAGTAGCATAAAATATTTTATACTGCACTCGTTCTATTTGAGCAGTCAAAATGCGTTGACCGTATATTTCTATGTCATATACAGTCACTGACCTGATATCACTTTTCCTCATGAATATTTAAATATAAATTGCCGAAATTATAATTAATTATTCATACGACCTATTCAACCTGTTCTTGTTTCCAATGTATACAACGACTCAACTTATTTCTTTTGCAATTTTTAGACAAAACACATATTTCACTTATTAATATTTTTGGTTTGCAAACTATAAATCTTTATGTTTTATGCTTATTGTTGATATTTTAGTTCATTCTCAAACAAATTCGTTCACCATCGATTGCGGGTTTCAACAGGTAATGTACATTTCATTGTGTTGTATATTTCTCCGCCTGCATGATATGAGGCCTTTTTATAAAAGGGGGAAGTTTTCCAATATTTAAATCAAATAATAACATTAACACATTAAACAACAATTGAAAATGTTTTTTTATTAGATTGCAGTATAAAGACAATAATAGTGCATTGACTTGACATATCAACGATATAAGGATTCGGCCCGAAACGGGGAAAAAGCTCGGCAGAGCCTCGCATTTCCCCGTTTCTAAGCCTCATCCTTATATCGTTGATATGTCAAGTCAATGCACTATTATTGTCTATGTACATCTGACATCGAGGACCAAGCATCACATGATATAAACATTCAGTTTTACTGATATCAGCATTTGTGTAGTTCTTGAAAATCAGTCATTTTAACCAATATTATAAAGACGATCTAATGATTTGAAAAATGGTTTTAAAACATTGACAATGTATTACAGTATGCATGTTTTAATTATCTGCTTGGATTTGTCCAACGGATTGTGATAAGTTAAAAGGGACTAGATTGGTCTGTCATAATTGGTGGCGAACTATTTCTCATTAGATTGAAAAAAAGAAATTACGTTATAGAATCAAATTATAAATATAGATTTTGCATAATGTTATTTGACAGATAAAATTATTATATATATTGTTGACACCACACTTTGGAAACATGACCCATCAGTAGTATTTGGCAATGATTATGTATGTCAGATGTATTATATGTATACTTTAAAACATAAATAACGCACCTCATCTTACTATATATATAGTAGTTTCACAATTTATTGTTTTTGCTACAAATTTGTAGAAATCTGTTGTATTCTAAGCATAATCTTGAAATTATTGCAGAGTTTACAGATAGTGGCGACAATGGAGATTTCAAAAACAAAATAAACATCAAAATTCTGAGATAAGTCAATTTCAAATTGGTCATTACACAAGAATTCGATAAAGAAACTGAAAATCAAAGTCATTTACGTTCTTTTTCAAGTATAAAGGTACACACGACTTTAGTTTTCACAGATTTGGTAAAAATGTTTTGTTTTTGGTTAAAAAAATGTGTTTTTTTGAGATGTAAAAAATTGAAATTAAGAAAAAATTTTGACTCATTTCAATCATTTTTTTAAAATGTTACATGCACTAGAAAAATTTAACGCCAAAGAAATTAATGGAGGTGGTGCATAAAAAATTAACACCAAAGAAATTAATGGAGGTGGTGCGTTTCTTTAGGTGTTAAGTATAGATTAAGAAATTTATTGTAAGTCGCACACAGAGCGACACAATTAAAATTTAAATAAAAAAATTACTGTATAATTTTTCTTCTGCTTTTCTCATGAAAATTGACGAGATTTTTATTTAAAGAGGACTACAATGATATCTTTTAAAAACATAGATAGAAAATCACGAATTCATGCGCAAGGATTTATAAGCACCGGCCATTCATTTTTTTTATTTCTTTTTTTTCTTTCTTCTTTTTTTTTTGGGGGGGGGGGGGGATGTGGGCATGGGTTTTCTAAGAGTAGTTTGTTTTTGATTAAACTTGAGTATTTGTCCAGAGAGAAAAAATCCATGTCCCAACAAAAGATGAATGGTCGTTGCCGAAGGTAAATGATACATTCATATTGTTAGCCAACATGTATTCCGTCATATGTAAACATCGAGTAACTCACATTTTCCAATGGTATCCATATAGATGTTACAGATCATGTCTTTTGACTTTTGTGTCGCTGGGTTGATGTATTATATTGACGTATACCTCACATAATTTTATTCTCTTGAGAATTCACTGACTATTACATTCACCTTAAATATAAAAAAAATTAAATGTGGTATGATTGCCAATGCGACAACTACCAGTATAGACCAAATGACGAGGAGGATTTCAATCAGTTCTTATTAGAAAACGAAACTAAGTGTTAGAACGCTTACATTTTCTATCGCGAATGTTAGGTTCTATTAATAGAGATGACCAGGATAATGACGAACGAACTTACGAACTTGACGAATCGTACGAAACGGGAGCTGCTGCACGGTTTTATACATAGTAATGTATAAATTTTACATAAAAATAGTCTGCATGTAGTCTAAAGAAGATATTATACCTGTATCTGTATCTAACTCCTCACATTAATAATTTAATGTTTTCTACAATAGCAAATGGTGCACTCAATATCCAAGACTCTGCTTTGAAAATTGAGGTCCCAAAAGGGGTGTTAATGACTTTTAAGGGTAAGAAAAGGGTGATAGCATAGATATTGAAGTTTACTATATTGATATGATTGATGATCAATATGTATATAACTAAACGAAATCGTTTCTACATTTCAAAAGTTAAAAATAATCTAAGGTTTGTTATAGGGGAGTAGGAAACTCCTCATCTTGAAGATGGAAAATAAATTTAAAAGACATGAAAATTTCAGCCCCTACCCCACCACAAACACGTTTCAATACGTTTATCCTTTACAACAAAAAGTGCATGCATATAATTTCTATTTTTATTATTATTATTCAATAAAACACTGAATCAGTATTGTAAATAAAGCTTCGAGTGGGGAAGTTGTTTGTGACTACAGGGAAGTTTATCTAGATATGCCTGTTATGGTCTCGGTGACATTTACCACACCTTCTTTCAATCTCAGCACATTGTTCTTATTCTTTTATCAAAAAAGGTAGTAACTTAACTTCAGATAAAAATACATTCCTGGAAGAACATGTTGAAACTTAGGATGTTTTTCTGAACAATTGAGCCGAGCGGAGCAAGGCGAAAAAAATGTATGTCTTTCCTGCCAAAAATATACATTTTCTTTATTGTAAGGGGAAGCGTTGGGTGTGGGTCGCCTGACTCCATACCCTGAGGTCATAAAGGAAAATTCACGTTAAGACGTATTAAAAATGCCACACTTGACTCCTAGATATGATATTGAACCATCGAAATATATGCTCAATCATTAAAGAAACAACTTTTAATGTTATCAGTGTTTTATTTTATGGAAAGACTTTCACGAAAAACCTTTTAAAAAATCTGAAAGACATCAAACCACTATTCCCTATTATTGTCATTCTTCATGTCCAACAAACAAACAGAAGAAGGCCATGACTCACATGAATAAATCATTTAACATTGGAATGAAGTTTGAAGCCAAAAATTATGACACTATAGTTATAGATATGACATATGAATCAAGTGTTAGACACTTCTTTTGAATAATCAGATACTGATTTAGAGTATATTCATCAAATTAGCTACAATTTGTTCATGATGTTTGAAATATAGAACAGTTAAAATCTTGTAAAATACCTCCCCTTTCTATTCCCCAAAATTTACGGGGTCCCCTTAATCCCCCCCCCCCGGATGCAAATGACCAGCCCCTTGGGAAGGACAGAAATACCCTGTTTTCCCACGTGAGTTGAGCAAGACTGAAAGGCAAGATATCTGAATTCCGAAACAAACAAAGGTTGACGTATCATCTTCTAAATACTATTCTTATCAATCATATTATTTGCCTTCTGAGTATTTTGTGAAATCAAAGATATTTTAAATACTCAGATCGATGAAACGTACTTCAACAATCTACGCAATTGCATTTATATCAAACAAACCATGTCAGACGAAGTTTGTTGCAATATATAAATTTTCCCAAAGTAACGGGTCTTTGGATTTTATAAGTTTCGATCCTATCCAGTATGCACATAATCATTGCATCTCCTCGGACATGGTTTGATATCCATACTAAAATGTTGTTTTAAGTATGGATAGTAATTAAGGGGTTGTAACAGAGTTGGTAAATTCACTCGAAACTAGGTGAGACATACGCAGTAATAATAGATAAATGATATAAACATAGAAAATTGAGAATTTTAATCATAATAATTAATAAAAATTAAACACACAAAAAGGGGGTCTACCCCACAAGCGCCTGTGGTCATTTTGACGGGTTTTTTTTCTTATAGATAGTTGTAAAGCTTTAAAGTTATTTGTAATGTCTTCGTATGCGTTTTTAATTAAGTATGGCTTTTGTCTAGTTAACTCCCTTAAAAAAGACTTTATTTACTCTTATGACCAGTTTTTTTAAACTAAAAAAGTTTTGCCATCGTTAGAAATCATTTTTTTTAATTGGTACAAAACACTATAGGTTTTCTTTTTTTTATTATAAACTGATAGATTAGTTTGTTTGAA